CAAAAAATTGCCCCCCCCCCCCCACCCAACCAAAAAATAAAAAATAAAAAAATAATGGATGTCATACAGGTGCTTAATTATAGTGCAACTACCATAAAGTCGTGCATGAAACACCTACCTCTCACAACACAACCATACCAAATGGATGATCCTCGTCCCACTTGAACATCTCCAACGATTGAGGCACTTGGGGCAATAAACGCATCCTTATCGACAACAGGAGCTTTGTCGAATATGTTCATTAGAGTTCGATGCGTAGACACTAAATAAATATGCATTAAATTAAAGAACATAAAAAATACAGAATAAGAAAGGAACAAAATATTCAAAGTTAACTACAAAGGAATCTAGCCATAAAAATTTGCTATGCGTGTACTTCAGAGGTACCTCAGGCATGTCAGAAAAATTCTGAGGTAGTAAATTCTAGGTGGAACTTGCAAAGTATACAGCTTTGTGGTAATAACTACACCTCAAGATCATGAGTCACACATTTTGTGCTTGCTCTCACCTACGGTGGTGAAGCTTTAGTTGGAATGAGTTTAGCTCTTGAGTGTTATAGCTATTCATCACAGCTGAAGCATCAACATTCTTAATGTTTTAAATTCTCACAAATATCCCACTTCAAAAACGCGGTCAAGAATAAGTTATACTAAACTCTAGCAAACGAATTACTGTAGATCCTAACGTGATTCTTGTTTTACGACTAAGTGCCAACTACATAAAAGAAAACAAAATCTTTATCCAACAAAACCACAAAGCTGAGTTTGATGCTCCTACAAATGTAAAGTTCAGTACGACAGATTATCAAGCCATGTAATGCAAGCTTTTTAGAAGTGATTGCTTAAGTTATTTGTATTTTTAACACTTTAATTGTGAAAGAGAGATACTTCAAGTACCTTTAACAATGGATATGCACCTGATACTTTATAGTGCATATACCAAAGAAGTATATCCAAACTGATCCATTGTATAAGTACTTCAAACTGAACTGAGTCTATTTCCATGAACACCATTTTACCATACATGAAACAAAATATACAAGAAGGAACATTTTATTATGTCCTCGGTATCCTAATATTAGGAAATTTAATGGTCGTGCAAAAATGGCAATACCTTTTCCTGTCCAAGTCTACATATACGTATATGTCACAAATGTCAGTTTCTTATATAATGGGAAAATTGCAGCCACACTTTTGGGTGGACTGGGAAATGGGTGCCATTCTATTTTTTTTTAAACGGGTAACCAAACTTGTAATTACCTAGCAACTAGGTTCCTTCTAAGCAAGGGTGGGCAAAATTACCTAAAACAGATAGAACCAGACCTGAACTGCATGTTCGATATGGTTCTGAAAAAAAATAATAAAATAAAATAAAATGAATCAGCTAGTTTGAGCCCGTTCTCAGTTTTCTCATTGAAACATTCAAACTGAAAAAAGAACTGACTCATCGAAATAGGTTCCATATCATCATAGTCATTAAGCCTACTACTAATGTAAATCACTCTAAATATCTCTCTCCCTATCTCCAAATCTTTTTTTCTTCTACTAAGATATTCAAGGCTGTTAGTTGCCAAGGACAACTAATTCACCATCAAGATGAGTGTCTCTAAGGATGAGGACGGATAGCCAACCAGATTTCATTTCTATGGCAAGCGAGTAAATAACAAGCATTTCTCTGGTTGTGATATGGAAGTTATTATAAACATAATTGGTGTGTGAGTGTAACTCTTCTCTATTTTATCCTATGAAGTTCACTTGAAGAAATCTCATTCTTTTCTCAACCGATTTATTCCCAAGTCTCAGATCTATGCATCTCTCTCACCCCAGCAACTCACCCTTTTCTGGGTGTCAGGTACGTGTTTATGAGTAGCTCATTATATCAAATCTAGGAATTCTTCCTGCTTAATTCATTTCTGAAATGTTTTTGGTTCTTTCGTTTGGAAAAATTTCACTTTTCGTATACTGCAACTGTGCAACATATGCTTTAAACAGATTCCACTCAACAAGACCGAACCAGAAACAAGTGACTCGGGTTCTTGTCCTTCAACCAAACAGAGTGATTCTGTTTGAGAAAACACAATGAAACTGGTTTGGTTGAGCATTCCATATCGAACTGTACCGGGCCAGGCATACTTCTAAGGCATTAAAGCCATTGAAAGTCAATGCTAACCTCATATCCCAATAAATAAAAGCTATAAATGAAAATCCCTCCTAAATCTCCACCATCCATGAATAACCAAAGAGCGAAGCAAAGCTAATTAACCATAAGCCAATGTCCCAATTTCATTCCCTTATCTTTTACGCATTCTAAACTGTCCATTCCAGCGTCCATATTCCCCAAACTAATTTCAGCATCTCCATATTTAAGCCTTTGTTGAAAACATTCTATAGCATTATTGTTGATTTTTATATAACAGCTGAGTCTTTATTATCCTGAATTAATATCATTTCCTAAAAATTAACATGTACCTCATTAACACGAGCAAAGAGTTCATGTTTACCCTTTCTTTCTTTCTTTATCTCTCTTTTTTGCCTCTTTATAAATTCTGTCCTGTTCTTTCCAACAGTAGAGCACAAAATGAAAAGAGCCCCAAAAAAATTTATTTGAGCCCTTCTTTCCCTGAGCAGCTCAAACCTAATTGACACCTCTAACATCAATTTTTGCAGCTCTAAACAAGCAATTACCACGATTACGACATTAATTTGTAAACCGTAACGAGTACATTTAACCATCAGATTATTCATAACTCATGGCATCTCTTATTATACGCTTTCGCATTTTTCACCGAAGTTTCTAAAGACAAACCTACTTCCGGTTTCTATTTCAGTATAATGTTCCCTTCTTTTCAACGGAAGTTTAATTTTTAAGACAACCCACATATCATTTTCTTATCCCATTTTTACTCAACAAATTACCGCAATTGAAGAGTTTAAATATTAAGCCCCACAACAATTTACATTCTCACTAAAATACATTAACACATAAAAGTTGATCAAAAACTAAAATCAGGAAATACAGGATCTGCGATTTTTAAGGGGGGAAAATTAGAAAAAAGGCCGTACGTTGTTCTTGGAAGTAGTAATTTCCTTGGAGGCGACAGCCGAGACGATCCATTGCTTGACCCGTCTCTCGAATCCAAAATCCCAAGGTGTAAACTGCTCTCCCCAGACTCCCCATTTCAACTTTACGTCTACTTCTTCCTCTGATTGTTGATTGATCAGCTTATAATCTCCCGCTTTGGATGGAAAATAAATAAGAGGCCTTTTTAGCTGCTTCGTGCAATTTGATAATTGGAGACTGGAGATGGTATGATTACTGGGGCATTGGGCGCAGGCCGCAGGGTCGTCACTTGCGAAGGACCTGAAAGGGTATATTTGGCATTAAAAAATGTTTTTACACATTAACAACACGAATAATTAACTAGCATATTCACGCCACAACCTTATTCCTTATATATTTTAATTAGATTTTTAATATTTGTTCATTATAACAATTATGTACCTAATAATTTTTATGTCATTTTTATCCTCAAGCATTCTATATAAGTTCACACATTTTGTATTTGATAACAATTTTATGTTTGAAAATTCGATGAAATAACTTATTTTTCCATCATATTTTTAAAAATAAATAAATAAATAATGCGAAAAAATATTTTTCCCTCATTTCAAAGCATGAAAACAAAATATTTTGATATATATCATTGTCAACAAGGACAAGATGTACTAATTAGTGAAAGATTGAAAATAAAAATTTTAAGAAAAAAATGTTAAGAAAATATTTGGTATAATGAGCAAAGATTGAGGAGATGTAACCAATAAAAAATGTGGTTTCAATATAATCGCTCTAACAATTTTGTTTGTGAAGTTTTTTAATATGAAATTTATTTTTTAGAGAATGATTTTTTTTTTTATCCAGGTATTCACCTTACAGTGACTAAATCTTGGAGTCTACACCTTGGCCCCTCAAGTTGCAGACAGGTTAAACCGCAGGTTGTGTCCCAAACTGACCAGTGCTCAAGAGCCCCCCCAACTGATCTGCCAAAGTGCCAAGCAAGTCGTTTCCCATCTTTGCACCTTGCCTTCCAGTAGAGCTCCTACCTTTCAGGATAAATCCTGCCTTCTAGGAGAATATCTGCCTTTCAAGAACCTTCCAAGAATTGAACTCACGACCTATGATTCGCCAGCCTTGAAGTGCCCTCATCTTTGCCAGTTGGGATGTGCCCTGGGAGCTTTTTTAGTGAATGTTTGATATGATGGAATGATGTTGAAATAAAGTTACGCCTTTGTTTGGTTCAGTTAAATAAAATTGTTTAAAATTTTTAAATCAAAATCAACAGTTGATTCTACCCATATATGTTATGGGATTCACAACTTTTCCACTACTTATCCATTAATTTATATCAAAATATATTAAAAATCTTGTTTTTATTTAAACCAAATCGGGACAGTCATACCATATTTTTCATTAATTGCACCACATTTTTTTTTATGATGGGGAAACTCGTAACCGCTACCATTTGAATGCGCACTGGATAAACCTCAGGTTGACGCAATAATTTGTAAAATCACGCCAGCCATGTAAACCGCACTAGACAAGCCCATGTGTGACAAGCTCAACCAATAAATTATTGGTAGGGGGAATCGAACTCGTGATCAAAGGCATCTGCGCTCACCTATTTCACCAACTCGACCACTCCATGAGGGGTTAATTACACCACATTTTAATTGTACGAAACGTCAATAACATTTATTCATTAATTTTTATCCTCAATTGACACAAGTTGTCCCTTTGAGACGATGTGTCATCAAAAATAATTAAGATGTATTTATATCTTTCACATATTCAAATAAGCCAAAATATATCATACTTAGGAAGGCCTTCCTCGCTACAAGAAACTTGACCTTGAGCTTAGTGCAATTTTAAAAATTAACAACAATGATGTTAGCACGATGAATGGTGAGCCTTGTTGTATGCATACGTGTAGAGGAAAGACTAATTAATGCACATAAGTGTTCAACAAGATACTTGAGCTTGGGTTGACCTTTATCGAAAGTCGCAATGATATTCCAATTGATCGAGGAAACCTTCTCTCATCTTATTGAGGCGAGTCCATAAGACCTCGCAACGACAAGGCTAACTCGTAAGATCTCATCTTATTGAGATAAGCATATAAGATCTCTCAACGACGAAGCTAAACCATAAGACCTCACATTATTAATGCGAGCTCCTAAACCTCACAACAAGGGAGACTATTGGTATAAGAATACCCCATTAGCAAGACATTATTACTACTAAACATGCTATAATATCATTTTTAGTACTGAACGCATACAACACCATCTACATTATCATTGACATGCACGCATAATGGATCATCTATATACATATATATTGCAACATATGCATCATATTTTCATTCTTACTATTCATTTTCATCTTTATGTACAAAGCCTGCTCTTCAGCGGCACAATACAAAAGCCTGCTCTTCAGCAATATAAAGCCCACTCTTTAGCAGCACAGTTCGTTTGTAAATGCTGCAACACTTAGACAAAGCCCCTCTTTAGTTGCATAAAGCCTTCTCTTCAACAATACAATCTAAGGTTGTAAATGCTGCAACACTTAAACAAATCCCACTATTCAACGGCATAAAAAGCCTACTCTTTAACAGTACGATCCAAGATTATAAGAGCTACAAAGACAAAAGTCCAATATTCTTAGTCCTCTCCCAAGTCCGTTTTGTTGCAAGCCCCCTCATGGCGAACTCTTCACTCTTTGGCAGTTGGGTACATAACTAGGACATCATTGCAAATTTTGTGGTTGCTTTCCACCTCAGTGTTCACCTAAAGGCAGCTTAAGCAAATAGAAGAAGTCAAATAACTCTATATGAATGACCTCAAAACGTGCAGACCCTACTTTAGAATTGGAAAGAGAATTCTATAACAAAATCTGACTTGGAAAAGGCTAGAGACACTGATCAAACCTCATTCCTAAACCAATTCGTGACCGATCAATAATTTGAGCTAGAAAATAAAGGTCAGAACTTTAATGATGTAAATGTCCAGACCTTTCGCATCATTTGTTGGTGTCTAACTCACAAACCAACTCAGACTTACCTTAATTTAAGAATGAGAGCTTGTGAATATTCAATGGTCACTTCAAAGAGGGTGGGCTAAAAGATCATCAAGTCAGCTCAACCTATGAGCTTTACAAGTTAGGTTAGCTTAGCTATATCTGTTGTCATTGAGAAAAATATCATCATTGCTTTATTACCACTTGTGCCTTATCCATGACATCATTGACTCCCATATGATCGTTCCTATAACAAAACATGGCATTCATGACGATTGTGCCTTATATTCAACCAACCAGAAGCTTGCAATAGTTACTCACCACTTCGACATCATCATAAGCTAACCTCAAAAGGACCAATCAAGAGTTAAGGCATGGCAATAGCACACAATTCAAGAAAGGTGTTCGTGCGAAACCTGCAAGTGTACGGATCTGTTGACAAGTAATATATTTAGTGAGTTGCAAGTATTGTCCCACATGAAATAAATTTCAATTCAAAATTACTATTCATATATGAAATTCAAATTATGTAAAACAAAAGAGATATTTCAATTTAATCTAAAAAAGCAATAAAAGTTTAGTTTTTATTAAATTATGAATGATTGTATTGGATTTTGATTCTACCTATTGTTATCTATTTTAATTTTTGATTTATAAGCTAGTTTCATTCATGCATTCATGACAATTGATAAAGCTATGGTATATATTTTCTTTTTCAAGACAAATTAAATCTATACTAATCATGACCCGAATATATTCCTAATCTAAATTCAAATGGTTAAAATGCATTAATGTTTAGATTATCTATATGATTGCACACGTGATGAATGTTATTCCTAACATCTATTTCACATATGTTAAATTTACAGAGTTATAAATTTATTGTGAGTCTCCCAACATTACAACAAGCAACTAATTATCTAATCGATGGTCAATCAGTTAAATAATGCAATGTGTATGCAAAATTAATCAAGAAACACAAGAATTAAACTAAACTACTAATTTTTAATTAGAAATAAATAATAAATAGGGTTTATCTTTGTCTAATACAAAAGCGGATCTAGCTCAACATATTAATATATAAATTACAAGAAGAATAATAAAAAAATATCACCTGGATCATAAAAGAATACAAAAGATGTTGATCTTTACTTCCAAAATTGAATTCTTCAAAATCTTGATGTAATTAAGCTTCAATTTCTTGCTATGACTTTGATCTCCTCTCTTAAGATATAGTAATTTGCTCGTTCTTGATGAATTTGATAAACCTATTGTGTATGAAGAGGCAAGAGAGAGATTCCTTTCATTTCTGCCCACATCTTGTTTTCACATGGCGAAATTAGGTTAAAATTCACGTCCAAATTATCTTCTAAAAGAGTTTTAATCAAATAAGAAAAGTTACGCGCCTGATTTTGTCTTTGTACAGCCTTTAGTATTTTGGTCATAATGTTTTCTTTTGGTGTCCGATTGAGGTAATTAAAGTGCGTAGAAAAGTTAATTCAAAGAGATACAATTCTTTCAGAAATAAAATTTTTTCAATTCTAAAGTTTGCTATCCAACAAATGGGTCTCAAATTGATTAAAAATCTGGAAGATATCGTATGTGATTGAAAGTCGATTTATGGTAATATTCCTATTCCTTTTTTACTTCAATTTGTATTCAATTGATTCCTATCAATTTTCAAAGTATCTTTTGTGGTCCAAATCAACCAATGGATATTTACGCATTGGACCCCATACATTGTATTTCTTTTATTTTTGCTCATTTTTCGTTCATTTCTTCCAATTTTATCAATTTGCATTGAGTTCAACCTAACAAACATAATTAAACTATAACACATTCAAATCACTAACAAATACTCCAATTTACTGGTTTGGATAAGTGTACAAAATGCACTTATCAAAAGACATATGCAATTGTATATAATTCAAGGAAAGCATTGTAGATAACTTTATTTTTGGAGGCCAATTGACTGTTTTGGGAGCCTATAAATATGACCAAATGGTTCCCCAAGGGAAGAGGTAAGGACATAAAATAAACAATCTATGAGCTTTCTTTTTAATACAAATTTCCTCATTTTATACTATTCCAGCAATTTATCTGATATAAATCATCAATTAAGTTGACCGAGATTAGCCTAGGCCTCTTTTTTTATTTATTTATTTACTTCAACAGGCTTTTAGAGCATATTTATTGCAATTTCAGCAATGTATATAATTGTAAAAATAACAAGATTTTAAGACATGGTCACTATTTCAGGCCATTTTCAGTGCTGCAT